CAATTCTCTACTCTTTTTGGGCCGTGGTATGACAACAAAACTTAATATATATAGTGTTAACCACTGTTTTTTTCAAGGTTTATTTGTAGAGTGCTATTATATTGATTTCTTCTAGCATATACCGGTACCATATGCTAGCTTTTTTCTATATAGTTAAGATACTGCATGGGGTTCCATGACAGTTATTTCAGACCCTAAGTTTGATCAATATGTTCATTTAAGCGGCACCCTTATGACATGCCCTTGGTACAAGTATATGGGAATTCTAAAGAATGATAAGTATTCTCCCATTGACTCATTCGATTGTCAACAGGGATCAATGAAGCATTACCATAGTGTTGAAATTTACATTCTGTAATGGCATGGAAGAATTAGCCCCATAAAGTGGAAAGAATGACAAAATATTCTCTTGTCCTCACACTTTTGCACAGTACTGCATATGGTCTGTAGGTGGAGGTTGGGTGTTTTACAGATATAGAAATTAAGGGTGGTTGTTTAATTAACAGCTATTTCTAATTTAACTTCGTGAATAATATTCTTTCAAAGATATTGAATCGTTAATGATTCTCAAGGGGAACTACCATTAGTTCGGGCCCGGCATGGCCAGGTGGTTAGGGCGTTTGACTCGCAATCTGAGGGTCGCGGGTTCGAATCCCCGTTCCACCAAACATACTCGCCCTTACAGCCATGGGGGGGGGGGTTATATGTGATGGTCAATCCCACTATTCGTTGGTAAAAGTGTAGCCCAAGAGTTGACGGTGGGTGGTGATGACTATCTGCCTTCCCTCTAGTCTTTTACCGCTAAATTAGGGACGCCTGGCGCAGATGACCCTCGTGTACCTTTGCGCGAAATTCAAAAAGAAACAAACGAAAACAAAGGCATTACTTCAACCTGCTGCGGACGATTAATGATATAGTGGCTTCTAGTACCCAGTCCCAGACACTTATCTCATTCCCTTTGCTAGCAGTCTTATTTTTCGTCTAAGTTATTTGGATTTGGTCTGAAAGTCGGATATCTCCAACATTTTTTGTTGTTGTTGGCGCGATCATTTTTCCATATATTTTTTTTTCATCTTTTTTCTATTAATTCATCATTGTTATATTGTTTGTTTGTTTGTTTTTGAATTTCGCGCAAAGCTACACGAGGGCTATCTGCGCTAGCCGTCCCTAATTTAGCAGTGTAAGACTAGAGGGAAGGCAGCTAGTCATCACCACCCACCGCCAAATCTTGGGCTACTCTTTTACCAACGAATAGTGGGATTGACCATCACATTATAACACCACCACGGCTGAAAGGGCGAGCATGTTTGGTGTGACGGGGATTCGAACCCGCGACCCTCAGATTACGAGTCGAGTGCCCTAACCACCTGGCCATGCCGGGCCTCATTGTTATATAGTGATGAATATTCACATATATATTACGATACAAGTACAGTAAGTTGCGTGGCTTAATATATATATATGTGTGTGTGTGTGTGTGTGTGTGTGTGTTGTGTGTCTGTGTGCGCGAGCGCGCGTGTGAGGAAGAGAGAGAGAGAGTATGTATAATATTGTAAATTATCACGGATACAGTTAGGAAAAATATGAAAGATAAATACGATGAGAATAGCCCCTCAGTGGCTCAGCGGTATGTTTGCGGACTTACAAAGCTAGGAACCGGATTTCGATACCCGTGTTGGGCAGAGCACAGATAGCCCATTGTGTAGCTTTGTGCTTAACTTCAAACAAACAAAACGATGGGAATATCACCCCCTTTATTGCATGAAGACTATCTTCACCAAAGTAGTCATGCGTTAATAGTTTACACTACGATTGGTTGTCATCCAATCAATCAGAAAGTGCCACGCCAGAACGATGTCTATAAAAGGACAAGAAGACTGCCACACTATTCCCAGGTATGACTCACAGGACTGAAATACTGCATGAAAAATACGTAGAAATCGAAGTTTATACTAGAAAATGACGCTCTGTGCTAAACATTGAGGCAAGATTGTGTGTTTCGGTAGGAAGTGTATAAAAAACTTAAGAATGTATGTGAAAATTGCACTGTTAATAATAAAAGAGTTCAAGGTAGAAAACCGAAACTTTTCAAAAGTGATGTTAAGTATCTCAATGTATGTTCTTTTAACTAGACAACGGTGGAGTAAAGCTCTTGCCAACGTCTTTACCTAAAGAGCAGTAGAATAGATATTAGCACGATGGGTGTATAGCTGTTTTAAAATCGCTACCGAATTATTCTGCAACACTCTGTCTGACGACGGGGAATATAACAATATTAAAGTCAATGTATTTCCTCTGCAATGAATCAAGATGTATGTTCAATACAAAGTTTTGGTATCATAGTGAGAATACTACCTCTTCAATGAATCAAAATGGGGGATCAATACAAAGTTTGGGTATCATAGTAAGGATACTATATCTCCAGTGAATCAAGTTGAGGGATCAATACAAATTTAGGAATACATATCAGCGAAGTGATCTACACAAAATGGTTGACACCCTGACTACTAACAAGTATAGTAGATTTGGATCCACCATGTCTTTCTCTCAACAACATGATACATCAGGTGTGGATTCATCTTCTTGTGAAACTATCATCCTGTGCATGTAACAAATTTGGTGAAACGATATTTTGTCGGTAAAGAGGCCATCTGAACACAACAACCACAGTTGGGTCTGAACAAAGTCGCGATGCGAACGTCATTTAAGTTATTGGGGCTTATAGAAAATCTGTGGAGGTCAAACCAGTTTGGATGAATAGTCAGGAGTAAAACAGTACATTTGAAACAACATTGCACACTCGTACATTAATAGACCATGTGGCGGAATGAAAACAAAGTGTAATACTCTGTGTAAAGCAAAGGACTCAATTGCCAAATACTATTGCATTATAAAACTTATTCGCTGTTACTGTGTATTTTATATTATAATGTTTTGTGTACCATAATTAAATTCACTCTGTATTTACCATTACTCGTTGCATGTAACTGTATGTGTACCGTCTGTGTTTTTCCATTACTGTATATGTGTTTGTACTTACATATATTAGTAGTATATGTTTTGTTTTATCTTATATTAAACATTATTGTGTTATTTTGGCTGTTATTAGGAAAAGTGTTTCAACTTCCGGAGAAATGTATCCATTTGTGTAACTCTTTAAGAAATTTCTATATTTGTCGAACTGAGCTGACATACTTTGCAAGTGTAATAAATTTTAAATTATAAATTAGGAAGTAGTGATGGGAGCACCAAAAATGGGCGGAATTATATCCATTTTGTGATTGTTTTACGAACTTGGATCAAAGTTCAAAGTAAAACATAACGGCCACACCCACTTTCAAGTTGCATGTGTCAAAAACCACCAATTGTTGTAATGTTTCCCACCCATTCCTACCTTGTTTCCTTGCTTTTCATAACGTTTTTTGGAACTAAGTCTCAAGAGTGACTTGGCTCTAGACCTATCATTCTCGTAGCTTTTCTCTCGACATTTCCTGGCTTATGCTGATATTTTTGCTATGGTTTTTCTTCCATTTAGCCAGAGTGGCAGCTTTTTTTTTTGTTGAATTAATAGATAAGGTTTGTTTCATATGTTCAGTATTACTGTTTCTATCCTTATCTCTACTCTTCCAGTAATGCTTTCTTCGCTGGGACAAAGACTTTTCAAGATTATGTCTCCTTGAATGTCAGTAGGTCACACTTAGTTTGAGAACAATGCAAAGGTAAATTCTACAACTTTTAGTTCTTGTTTTCAGTCCAGAGTGCTCGATCAAAACCGTTTCAGACTTCAGCAGTAGTAACATTCGTCCTCACGTCTTAGGCAGCGACTGCTATCATAGAATTGCTTTGACCAAAGCAGAACCCTCGAGTCAGATTTATAGAACTGAAAACTTCGCTTTCAAAGGTTAGGTTTTAGTTGGAACCAAGACCTAGAGAATCTATATAGTCCACATGTTTTTATCTAGCTGATACAGCTGCAGGCTGATCACGTAGCGCGTGCGCATAAGCAATCATGCATCCGCATGTGATATGACGGCGGGTTGTTACTTGGCAATTCACAGATCATGATAGTACTAGTGTATTGTTAGCTCGTTAGTAGAGTTGCAATATTACTTGTTATTACCAAGTAAAACTAAGAAAAACGCTTTTAGCCAATATAGCGTACTTCAATCATGTACATTTAGATTTGCATAAGGTGAAGGCAGGAGAGTAGGAGCTATGCCTTTCCAACAACGTTAGTCAGTCAAATTGACAAATTTGTGATTTTGTGAAATTTTTGTTTTTACTCTACCGACTTTATCAACTGCTTTGGCGGCTTCTTTCTCTGTAGTTGATTTGTTTAGAACTTAATAGTGTGTATAAAGTTTATATAATGTTTTGTTTACATACTGCTTGCAGTGTGTTTGATATTTAAATTTGTATTGCACATCTGGTCCATTCCTTCTATAAATACTACCATACTTATGATATTTTACGTAAAATCTGTTTATGTTTGAAGAAAACTATCACAAGTTAATTCATAAAGTTAACAAGAAATTAGCAGAAAGACTTAATATAATTGGTGAAATATAGTTGTACGTATAAATGACATAAATTCAAAGCTTATGCCAAAAATAGTTAACACTTCTGAAATTAAATTGTGATGTCTTACTGTAACCACCCTGTGCGACTTAGTAGTTTGCGTATTCTATTCAAGACATTAACTTAAACATTCAAGCTAATAGAATTGAGACATATGTTTTATTGAGCGTCTTTTGTGTATGTTCTTATAGGGAATAGCTTCAATTATTCTGGTTTCAAGTGATTAATACCTTAGATCTAGCTGATTCAGATCTAATGTGGACTGACAATTATTACTGTTCTTATGGTAAAATTTTAATTTTGATGAGTTTCTCAAAACCTTGTACCTGTTAAATTTACCTTTGTTACCATGATAAAAAAACAACTTAAAGTGAATTAACCTTTACTTTCTAACATAAACTACATTGTTTTCTTTTTGTCAGGACTAACTAAAGGGGAAACCATGAAAAGTCAGGTCATCATTGTGATTTCTCTGATTTTAACACTTTGTTGCATGGATGCTGTGCAAGGCCTGTGTCCCATTAGATGTCAGTGCAACGAGGAGAGACTTGTGGTGGTGTGTGATGAAGCTGGCTTAGATGTTGTCCCAATAACGCTCAACCCTGATCTCCAAGAATTTCATCTCAGTAAAAACAGCATCAAAGGAATCATGGCAGCATTTAGCGTCTACCACAACTTGGAATATTTAGACATGACAAATAATCAGCTAGTAGCTCTCGGTCGTAACAACTTCAAGTTACAAAGAAAACTACGTATCCTTCTACTGGGACACAACATGATTTCTTCTCTATATCATTCTACGTTTAATGGACTGAATGGTCTTCAAATTTTAAAACTCACAAAAAATTTTATTCGGGACCTCCCTGGTGGCGTTTTTACTGATTTGGTGAGCTTGGAAGTTTTGGATTTGTCTGGGAACAACATTGCAACAATCTCAAAAGATGCTTTTATGGGTTTAGAAAGCCTAAAAATTCTGTTACTCAAGGACAATAAACTTGGCCATGTACCTACTTCCTCATTTAGAACCATCTCTCATCTTCTTAGTATAGATTTAGGTCTAAACAATTTCCCATCGTTACCTGATGATAGTTTTGTTTACCTTGTCAACTTGGAAAAATTGAAGTTAGACAGTTGCAGAATACATGAAATCCACGAAAATACTTTCAGAGGACTGACGAAGTTAATATATCTTTTTCTACAAGATAACATTCTCAATTCTGTACCAACAGAGTCTTTTCTCCACCTCAAACATTTACTAGAACTCAATATTGGTCAAAATAACATGAAAACTATTAAACCTAAAAGTTTCTGTGGTTTAAACAACGTTCAAACCATCACTATTAATAGCGCTCCCTATCTGGAAAGAATAGAACACGAAGCTTTTTCTTCCACTACTAGATTACAGCATATTGTTCTTAATCACAACAAAAGGCTTAAACATATTGAAAAGAACGCTTTTTCTTCCCTGACTATGCTTCGTTCTATTAGTCTTCGTGGCAATGATTTCCAGACGTTCAGAGAAGACGTTCTGCCCTGGAGTGACTTACAGCGGTTTGATCTTCGTGACAATCCACTGGTTTGTAATTGTAGCCTTTCTTGGTTGCTACGCCAGTTTGAAACTCGAAATTTTTCAGATAGTTTCGATCTTGCCTTTACCCAAGTTCGATGTGAACATCCTCTCGTGTTTCGTGATTTTATGCTGAAAAGTTTAACCATGAACGATCTCGGTTGCGATAAACATCAAACACAAAAGATCCTCACTTGGACCTTTGCAGCAATCGGCGTTGTTTTTGTTGTTACTCTTCTTGCAGTGTTGTGGTATCGTCAGAAGATTGTGAATGACTGCAAGATAAAATGTAGTAGCACAATCCCAGACTCGCAATATGAAAATCGATATCGATTGGATAACCGTATAAGAGAGGGAGTATCATCGGAACGAGAGTGGGTGGTGAAAATAGGGAGACATTCTTTTCCCGGTAGACTTGTGTAGTAAATGATATATTATAGCTCATCACGTAAAACCGTTCCATTGTAATTGTATGATAATTGTTTATGTCGTAATTTCTCCTAAATCAGTGGATTTTTCTGAGCTTCTAGTTTTGTTCCATCTGTTCTCAGTATATCAAGAAGTGACCTGGCGTATTCTCTAATTGTGAATAAGGAAGGGACAATTACAGGGAATCACCATTAAAGACATTGCACATCTTGTATGTTAGGAACGGTAAGTGTTAAACTCCTAAACCTAAATTTCTCCCGATGTGAACTACATTTTTTGTTGTTGTTGTTGTTTTCAAAGCAACTCGTAAATAAAATTTATCCTGGCAATAAATTTCTAACGAGAAAGAATCACTAAATATGTTTCCTATAATAATAACTTAGTGCAAGGTTGCCATACTGCAGTTTGAAATACAGAGTTTTTGTTTATTTTATAGATAAATATTTCAATTCATATTCTTTAACAGGGATCATGAACGTATCCGGATTGTTCAACAAAATGCATCATTTTTATTTCAAGTAGAAACAAATGACGATATTTTGCACTGATAGTATATTACAATAAAATCAAACTAGAACTACGTTTAAAACTACTCTTATGTAATATCAGATATAAAACTAACCAGCCCCCCCTGAAGATATTGTTTTATTATATTTGGTATATATAATAAATATATATTATGACAACAAAAAAATAAAAAAATATGAGGTTTCACACAGTAATTATCGTACTGAAATATAAAATTAGTGTGCTTAAGTTAATGCGTGTTTACCATGTTTCTTGAACTACTAATTCCCTAGGTCATTACTAAATAGGATGACGAATAGTTATGGCCTATTTAAAATGATACTAGATGCATTGTCCTCTTTTTATCGGTCGCGTGTCTTTCTCTAGGAATTCCTCGTGTATAGAAAATAAAAGTTATTTTAAGTTTCAATTAAACAATAACTCTAATTGCCATATTAGTTTGGGAATTGCGACGTAAAAATATACAATAATATAAAAGTAAATAGGTTTAATAAGATGTCTGTTTTGTCCGTTGATTCGGCCTAAATATAGTGTTCTCTTTCTGAGGTTTTAATTTCAGCATCTTGTGATATTCTGGCTCTCTTTAGAGAGACTTCACATGATTAACTGGTAGGAACGTTACAATATCTTAAAACAAAACTTTTTACCACTAGCTAGGCCTACCACTACCACTAGCATTGATATAATGATAAGTCCTGTATACACTATTAAATTAAACAGGACATTAGCTAACTCTCTATAGTTAGTTTCTGTAATGTAATAAGTCCTGTATATACTAGTGAGTTACAATAAAAAATTAGCTGACTCTGTATAGTTAGTTTATACAATGTGATAAATCCAATATATACTAGTAAGTTACAAAAGGAAATTACCAGTATAGTTAGTTTATACAATGTGATAAGCCCTGTATATACTAGTAAGTTACAACAGGAAATTAGCTGACCCAGTATAATTAGTTTGAGGAGTATTTTAATCTTTAAAACCAACAAAGATACTTAATAATACTAATATAAAAAAATCCCCAGTATCATTTATTTTAGTGTTGGTAACGTCACGGATTTCTTCAATAATAATGAAATGTAATTAAGTTTGTTTAACATTGTTGTTTTTTCTTCTAATAGATGTATATCACAGACCACAGACTTTGATGGTATTTTGTCAAAAGAAGAAGTGTACCAGATTATATAAGTATCTTTACTTTATTGTTGTATTCATTATCAAATATTTTGAATTGTTTGCTGAATATTTTATAAAATTCTCAAACATTTTAATGTATTGAACTACACGCTTTGAACGTATAATATTCTAAGATTCTGGAAACAAATAACAAATTCCTTTGTTTATAATAAAAAAAACATGTTAGTAATAACAAGATCCAATATTCGGGGAATTTACTGTGTTTTTAAAAAAATATATAAATTCATTGGAATCTGTATTCTTCATGGTCATTATAATCAAAGTCACACTATAAGAAATTAAACGTGCTTTGCAATAAACACATTTTACATTTACAGACTAATAAAAGTAAAATCCAATAAAGCTCTCCATAATGGTGACTTTAGTGGTAAACTTATAGGTTTATAACTCTCCTATTTGTGGCAGATACAGTACAGATATATTTATGTGTAGCTTAAAACTGAAACAAAATAAATCTCTTTCCCTCGTAATCAATAATGTTAAAATTCATTAGTTGGTGTATCTTTAGTCTCACCTTATCTGTTTTGTGCTGATATTTCTTTAAAATGTGTTTGATGTTATTGCAAGAACATCATTAAATATTATTTGGGTGTTCGTATTGCCGACCATATTAATCAAACAAATGTTTTTAAAAAAAGCAACCTGGTTCAAGGAAATGAACATGTTCGTTCTTGTTCATGTAACCAAATAGAGAAAAAAATGTGTTGTTTGATGATCTAAGTAATATTCCCCAATGTCTAGATATGTTGTTTTTTGTTACAAAGCTACTAATAATTTTGTAACGAGTAGACTGTTGCTTTTAAGGTAATTTGTTCATATGGTTGGTCTTATCATCCCACACCAAGATGTTATTTTGAAACACTGACTATAAATATTGAGTCATATTGAATGTTATATATCCAAAAGCCAGGCTAAATATGTGTTTATCGCCACAGTGTTCACTTATGTCATTTCAAGTTGGTGATTTTGTTGTGGAAGTAACTTATAAAATAACAGATTTAGCACATGACAGGTCCATAGTCAGATAGGTTCGGGGGTATGATGGCTACCGTTTCCACAGGAGCAAGTTGTTACCTTAATGAACAGAATGAAATCATGATTAATATCGAAGTACGTTTTTAGTACACGTAGAAATCTATGGATGAGTAGAATAATTTGTTTTCATCAAATTGCTATTCGTTGAACTTTGATCCGGTTACGAACCTGTATACATCTGGTATTCATTACATTGTATTCACCATATTTACCGTGAACAAATTACCTCTCAGTAGTTTTCTTTAATTTAAGTATCATGAAGACAACTGTATGTGTAATAAAGAAACAAGAAAATGTATAATTGTAACGTGTGATTTTATTCTTCATGTTACGGGGAAGATGTTGAAAATAACCTATCTTTATCCAATATCTCGCTCGCTGGCAAGATTTTCTGCTTTTCTGTTTATATTAGAGAGAATAAGATTGATATCAAAGTGTTTAGATGGTAGAACTATTTACAATCAATACAATAATTCTAAACTGCTGTAATTAACGTGAATAGTGGAAAACGTGTATTTAACATATCGAAGGTAAAGTGGGTTGGTGTTCCCCAAATTACACAAAAATACTTTATTACAAGGCCAACTGTGTATGTCAGTTTATAAAGAAGACAGAGTTTGGATTAGCAGATAACTGTTTGCTATGAGGATTCCAACGTATGAGTCATGTACTAAACTACTGCAACTTGGTGTGGACGACTTGAATAAAGGGATACTGAGCACTTTACTTCTTCTGGGATAATTGTAGAGTAGGATCATACAGTTATGATAGGGACACTACAGACCACACTTGTATACATTTCTGCTGGGTTGACCGTGCACTTGATTTAAATCAGACATCATTGTTGGACATAAAAACAACGGTGGTGTATCTCTGTTTATGTTAGCTGATTATAAAGACATCAATAGGTCATCCATTTATGTATATATATTTTTATTATTATTATTTTTTTTTTTTGGTGAGCCAACAACATTGTTAAAGGAAAAACAAAGAAACAGCAGTTGTCTGTCTGTTTGTTGAATAGACAGTTATAATTAACTCATTTTTGAGTTTGATTAGTCTTTCATATTTTTTACTCTTTTGGATGGACGAAGATGCATCACTGCAATAGAAGAAGAAACACTGAAGGAATCTTATATAGACTATACTGATCGAGTATATAAACCTTACGAGCGAAACAGTCCTATGGCTTAAAAGAAGTCCTTAATTACTAAAGATGTGTTCTTTAATGATTTTTATTTGGACGTGTTACCGAGTGAAACTTTTAACAACCAAATAACTTAGGAAATGCATTAAACGGGGAATAGATAACCTATGTTGTAAGTTAAAAGTCTGAGTTCCATCAATAGAAGATTATGAACAAATGGAAATATAAAATAAATGCAACTGATATTTTAAAGTTTCAGTACGTAAAGCTTCTTTTATGATATTGAAATAAGTGTCTCATGTTCCTAAATTGTACTGCGGTTTGATCAGAGACGTTGCATTTTCCCTTGGGATAGAAGAAACGCAGGTTGTAAAAACACGAAAACACTCGGGTAAAAGCCACGTCTACCTATCTTTGTTAAGTAAATAAGAATGTTTTTGTAAACTGAAGTGTTCAGTTAGAGTTTTTGTGATATTTCACATAAACATTTTAGTTTAATAAACAAAAATCTATAAGGGATATAAACAACAAACAGTATTATATCTCTGTTCACGGTATAGCGAGTAAAAAAAGGCATTATAAATAGAAATATTAAACATCGAAAATCATCTCTGTTTATTTACGTTAGTCGGGTAAACAAACCTCAACAACAGACTTAGAGTATTGGAAGAGCACTTCACTCTTTTGTTTTACTTATTATTGTTTTTACTTTGGTAGATACACGATATTCATAAAAAATATTTGTTCAAAGAGTGTTGCATAGCAACGCGGCTCTTGCTTGGTAGTGTTAATTACACAGGTCTGCGATGGTTTTATTGTTTTGAAATTTTTACATGTTCTCCTGTAATTCATGTACGCTGATTCCGAAAATGACATCCATTTTTCTCCATCACGTACTGATTTTTCACAAAAAGTCATAACGTAATACATAAAAGAAAGACCACAACACGTAGTTTTGAAACTAAAAGACGTATATTTCACAAGAAAATCAGTATGAATGAGGATGCATATTCGTTTAACATCAATGTTCTTCCCTTTTCTTCAGTTTGTTTGTACTTTTGTTAACAAACATAACAATAAAACATTTTCATTGTGGTAAATGAAATAATAATTTGGTCTAAGTAAGAGTTTTTTTTTCTTTTTCGTTATTTGTAAAAAATCCTTACGTGATAGAAAAAAAAAGGAATATTATTTTCGAAATCTGAGTAGCTGAATTATGGAAAATCCGTTATTAAAACTAAAACAACTTTTATGAAGTTTAAATTCGCAGGCCTGTGTTATTTGTTCCATTAGCTCTTCACAGTTTGTGTAGAATTACAATATTTGTTCATATACATATGTAATCAATTTCTTCCGAACCTTAAAATGATAGACATAACAAACGTTTGACATGTTTTATTTGAAACAATGTATTAATGAAAGAAATTCAATCACGACATTTCAATGCATATCTCGCAATTTGTAGGACACGTTTTACATACTTGCATTAATGGGCCATTCTTATAAGTAAAACATTGTTTGGGTTAGCAACATGGAACAAACAAATTATAGGATAATGAACGCGACAGAATAGCTGTGTCTTCTCCAAAAATTAACATTCTCAAAATTTTGGTTTTAAGAGATATATTGAAGTAAGATGTAATAAAAAGCTAGTCGGCGTTTGAAGAATCAGAAACCGTATACTACGTGTTAATAGTAGCTCGCCAGTTCGTCACCACATTTTTCACACCTAGGTTAAACATCTCGGTGACCAAGAAAGCAAAAACGTTCTCTCTTCTTTTTCTTCTTTTTTTTTAAGTAACAGTTCACTTACAGTTCTATCGCCTACCACAAATGACTACCTTTAAGCTATATCTCTTGTAGTGTAATAGTAACCATGGAAATGGTAGTGCGCTAACCACAATTCACAAATTAGTGTACGCCCTGTTGTAGTAATGGATATATGTGAACCGTAACTCTGCCCTTCGTCTCTGTAAGTTAAGTAATTAATACCACATTAACTGTATATTTATTCATATCTGCTAGTAGCGTAAGCCAAGCAAGACTTGCAATATAGTTTGATATATACATTTCCTCCTAACGAAAATTAAAAATAAAATAAAATAAAATGCTGTATGCGAATTTTTCAAGCTTTTAGCCAAATTATTTAATTATGAATAAATTGCTATTCCTACACAGTTTTAACTTCTGAGATTAGATTTTCCCACCTGTAACATTTTTCTGCAATAAAAGCTTGGTATATTTGGAATGGTGGGAAACACTATACAAATTAAGCTATAGTTTTTCGTGGATTTCATTTCCTAAAGTGATTTTTATAGAACCATTTTGGCGTTAATAATAATCTGTGTACATGATTACTATATTTGAGAAATATATCACGAATTAAAATATGTAAAACATGATGTTCGTGCACCAAAATTTGTAAGTTGTGCCATGAACAAATTAAAGAGTTTTTTTTTTATTTTGCTTTAATATCTCACTCAGGAACTAACATATAACTTTAAGGAACATTAAGTTAATTTAATCAGAGACTTGATAATTGATGCATTATTTCCAAATATGATTTAAAACAACCACAAGGTTAACTATTTTTAACCAAAGATTAGAAATATTGACCAAGCGTTTAATTATTACAAACATGTAAATTGTTAGTTTTAATTTAACTTGTAAGACAATGACAACGCAGTGTATGTTTAACATAACACGTTGATTTGTTTTAGAATATATTTAACATAAAAAAACAAAAAGTTTCGTTAGATTAAGCTTATCTGATCTAAACAATGTACATGCACAAAAACAGCGAAATTAAAATAATGGGGTCAACCATATAAAGGTTTGTTTGTTTTTAATTATGCACAAAGCTACACAAGGGCTATCTGTGCTCTGCCCACCACGGGTATTGAAACCCGGTTTCTAGCGTTGTAAGTCCGCAGACATACCGCTGTGCCACTGGGGGGCCCCATATAAAGGTGTGATATCAAACACGTTTACCCCCCCGTGGCATAACCGTATGTCTGCGGACTACGAAGCTAGAAACCGAGTTTCGATACCCGTGATGGGCAAGCACAGATAACCCATTGTGTAGCTTTGTGCTTAGTTTCAAATAACAACAACAAAAAACTTTTTTGTTGAATATTATGCAAAGCTACTCAAGGGCTATTTGCACTAGACATATCTAATTATGAAGTAATAGACTACAGGAAGGCAGCTAGTCAACACCACCTACCGTCAACTTGTGGACTACTCTTTCAGAATAGTGGGGTTTAACTGTCACACTTATAATGCACCTACGGCTTAAAGGGTGGAGCTCACGTTTTTTTTTGTTTGTTTTACTTTTTTATTTGATGGTAATGGAGAGTGAATTACGGAACCTCAGATTCACAGTAGGGTACGCTAACCACTTGGTCAAGCTCGGCTCATAATATATATATATATAAAGACGTAATGTAAAAGCTATAATAAAAAACTAAGTATTCTCCATCTTTTTTCTTAACTTACTCATTTTTGCATTACATCTTTCCATAGTTTGCCCTTTTATATATATATCTTTACTTTTTTTTATATCACCTGTTTTTATGGCTGACCCTTTTTAATCCAACTTGGCTATTTTTGTACAAAAAATGTTTTAACCAATGTTTGGATTACAATATTCAACTACACAAAACTTGAATTTAATGTCCCTTTACTATTATTTTTTATATTACTGTATGTCATATGTTACATAATTTTCAACTGACTAAGAGTAATAAACATTTAAGCTAAAGTGAGAGTTAAAACTACACTATCCGATGATTCTGATACTTCATATTTACACACCAGGCCATCTTTGGAGTTTAGCTTTTCTATCCATTTCTAAACGTTAAAGTCATTTTTTATTACAATTCAGGTCGTATTTAAGCCCTAATGGCTATGAAATACGTGAAATAATAACAAATATGATGTTTCTTTTTATTACTATAATTTTTAGAGATGCCAAACCGGATGTATACCTGAGTTCATATCAAAATATACCTGCGAATTTATTTTTGTGACATCCCCAATTTGTTTCCATTGTGTTCTGCTTCACAAAATGAAGAACTTAAAGAAAAAAGATCATAGTGACACTTGCT